TAAAATATTATTCATTTTTATAATAAAAATAGTGCTTATTTTGAGTTTAATATTTAATAGGGCTAAGTAAATAGATGAAAGAAACGTTTTGTTTACCGTGTTTTTAAATAAGGGGAACATTGAAAAGATCAGTCGGGATTATTATCGTGTAATTGAAAAGGATAGAGATACCTGCTTCGCATGTTTCGTAACTTGGAAAATGGGGCGCTGTATATGAAAAGCGTTTTTATTCATTATCCTTATTTTCAATGTAGCAAAGTAAGTGCTTTTGTTGGTAGAAATTTAAAAGATAAATATTTTCTGTAAGAATATATTTCATTTGAATATATTTATGTGTGTGTGTATTTAATTGATATATTTCTTCTCTTGATTTCTCTTTTAATATGCTAATGTTATAATAATATTTTATATTATTTACTTGTATCTTTGCATAGAGAGAGATGCGCTTTTTCATATAAAAAATAAAATATATTTAATATATATAACGCAAAATATTGAAAGAAGAATAGAAGTTTTAAAGAATTCTTTTGCAGCATGTATGTATCGTTCGTTAATTATTTTACATTTTCTATGCATTTTTCAAAGAAGGAGAGATTTATTATTTATATTTCTATTATATTTATATATAATCACTAACATAAAAATTTCGTTATAAAATAATATGAGAAATTCTTAAGAAACAATTTTTCGTAGTAGCATCTTCGTAGTTATATAAAATAACTACGACATATTCCAATTTCAAATTTTTGTTTGTTCTATAAAACAACAGATTATTTTTTTGTTGACTAATATATAAATTCATATCACGTGTATGAAAAGAAAAGAAAAGAAAAGAAAAGAAAAAAGAGAAGAAAAAGAGAGAAAGATAGAGCACAGTTAGAGATAGAAATCAATTGCAAGTCTTTTATACATACAATAGTGTTATCTTGCGATTGGACGCTACGTAATTAAAGTCGTTAATTTAAATAAGAAAATAGTCGCGTATATATAGTACAAGAGAAAACTGCTATCAACAAGATCTAAAAGACAAACTATTCTCGAGTCAGTCGCTTTGGGGATGCGTTTAAACGAGAATTTAATTTTCTGAAATCTCTCGACAATTTGAACACAGTACGACTGAGACTTATTGGATGACTGAGTCGACGATTAATATTTTCTGCAACAATGGCTTTTCGCCGAACCGTTGAAAATTATATTCTTCGCGAATTAATTACGCAAAAAATAAGGTAATTTTACGTGTCATTCTTTTGACATGTATTTATCAGGCAAATCATTAATAACATTAATTACCAATTGCTCATTTATATTTGCCATGAAAAAAATTATAAATAGATTTAACAGATTAATTAATGGATCGATAGAATTGCATATATCAATTTATTCTTAACCCTCATTTCTCAGCTATTACATATTAGCTATTATGTGTATATTAGCTGCTATCAAATATGAATGTTGCAAAGGCGAATTAATTTGGCAAGAAGAAATAAGAATTGTGAACAATCTATAATTATGATTTATAAAATAATTTAACATTATTAAAATACGCGCAATTCAAGTTGACAGTTATTTGTAAATAAAAATTTGGTTTTATGTTAAGTAAATGTATCGTTGCAGCTTCATGTGATTATTAAAATTTAAGATTTTTCGCAATTGGTAATTAATATAATGTTATATGATCAAAATTCGGTTTTTAGTAATTGATCTTCAGCGGAATCAGAAGAGGATCAAGTGTCGCAAATAATTTGCAAATGTTGAAATTATAATGTAAACACTCATGAATTCTTGTGTTTTCAATTGAGTATGTCCGAAACTATTAACGTTGTGTATGAATCACATCTTGTGGTGTTGATCGACAATTATTAAACACTTTGTGTACTGTGATAGAGCGTGTTCAATCCTGTGAATGGCTTCATTATACATCAATCGAAGAGGATTATTATTCCGCTTCACGAGATGCCTCGGTTTGTACCACTATGACATGCGATGATTTATCTCGTAAATTCGTCAAACAGACTTTATAGAGATAAAGCGATATTATATCGTGGTATTAAAACAGTCATGACACTTTGACATATTTAGCGCCTCTCGCGTTGATGAAACCACGGAAGCAGCTTAAGTCGAAAATGTAATTGTCATGTGACTGTAATTACGCTAACGCTTCATGGACGCGTAATATATCCTTAATTAGCGAAATTAACTGGAAACTCTGGCACGAATCAAATAAATCTGAATCCAACGACTCTTTAGCAATGTAATTGCGTGTTATAATATATAATTATAAGTTAACGAGTAATTAAAATTTATCGGTCGTTCTGTATATGACATATATCTAAAATACATCACACAACAATTAATTATAATATAATATCTAACAATTAAAATTTTTAACAATTTATATGCAAACAGATAGAAAATATATTATAATTAATTTATCATTGAATAATAATTCCTTAGCATAAAAAACTTATCTCTTTATCATATTTCTGCAATTGTATAAAATGTATGCGAATGAAGCATTATCATTTCTCAATACAATCTAATGTTTTCTCTTTGTTAAGATAATTTCGTTGCAATGTTCGAATTCATGCGAACAACTACGATTTGACAAATGAGAAAACCGCTTGAAGTTTTCCTTTCAATCATCACAGTCCTGAATTTGCTTTCACTTGTAGCCGCTCGGAATCTCGGAATTTACCGATAAATTACATTCGAGGCATTTTAAGTTGAATTACTTTGTTTGAGCGTTAGATTGTTTAAGTGATTGCCATTTTCTCGGAAATTACTATGCCATTGTTTAAATAGCTTTGGAACGGAGAAAACAAAGTTTTTTTCTTCCTTTTTTCCCTTTTCTATGCAAATTATATTTCTTAAATAATTAATTTTAATTAATATGCTTATTAGTTATTACTTTTTACTTACTCCTTTTTTTGAAATATTATCAATATATTTTCTTAATCAATTTTTTAACTTACTATAATATTAATTTTATGTATATTTTTATTTTTATTCAATTGCTACAAAATAATATGATTTATGACATTTTAATGAAATCTTTTATACAAACGTGAATATAAAAAATTACACTTTAAAAATATGTGTTCACTATTTTAAAATATTAAAAAAAATACCCCACTATTCTTCTATATGTGTGTGTTTCAAGTTAATTAATTTGTCACATTTCATAAATTTAAAATAATTTCATTTATTCTTGCAATGCTACTATTTTCATATTGATCGATAATTTTTTAATGATTTTTAATAATTGATCTTACCTATATATATATATATATATATATATATATATATATATATATATATATATAGAGTTTTAGCACAATCGTAAAATCGTGAGTATTAAAAGTAGTAATTTTTATAATTTAAGATAAGTATATTTTATTAAATTATACATTTTAATTAAATAAATGTATATTTTAATTTAATATATACAAATTCGGTAAAGTGTTATTGAAAATGTTTTTATGAAATGTGTTATTACGAACATACATAATATATATATAATCATCAGTATCAATATAAGGATTAGTCTTATGGCTATATTAAATTTTAATTATATTTATATAATATTTCTTAGACAACTATTAATCTGATAATTTATCTCTCTCATAAGTTTTTAATAATTCATTTCATATTCTTGTAATTGTAAGATTATGAAATTAACATATAATATACAACATTATTATAAAGTCTTATTTTAAATCTTTTCTTATTCGCATATACAACAATATATTCCTAAAATATTTACTTAGAAAAAGTTAATACGTGTGTGTGTACTCACAATTTCATTATCAGATTAGTTTTTCTTATATTAATAATAATTATTTAAATTTTCTGAATTTTTATTAGAAATATTATACGATAGATAAATCGTTGTTACTATAAACTCGAATTATTGCATTTTTATTGTTTGTAATATTATTTTAAGTTGTCAGAAAAGAATTGTGAGTATAATACTTCACATTTTATACAGTGTATATTTATCATTGTGTATAGTCTTTCTTATATTAGTAAAATAATAATAACCATTTATAATAATTATTATAATAACTATTTTTCTGAATTTTTATGAGATCAGAAATATACGACAGGTAAATCGAATTATTGCATCTTTATAATTGAGAACATTATTTTAAGTTGCCAAGAAAGAATTATAAGATTTCACGTAATTATAATACTTCATAATTTTGCTATTGTATAATCCATCAGCGCATGTAACAAAATAAGGTAATCTGAGTTGATAATACACAATTATAGATATACTTGTATAAAATATAACAAATATAAAGATATTATAATAAAGTAATCAATTTTTTTTAGCAGTATAAATTGTGCTGATAAGAGTTTTATTTCTATCGATGATTAATTTGAGCCATCAACTGGCTGTTTATTTATGGACGTAATTTCAATTGTGTAATTTTTAAATATAACTATATACTTTTTATAATAAATTTTTAATAATTTTATATTTTTAAAATTTAAAAAATTATGTATAATCTTTGTCATCTTATACGCGATATTTATAACAGGGCAATTCTAGATTGTAAATTAATTATATCGTCAATATTAGTAACAACTATGTAGAATCAACGGAACCAAGCACAACTTTTGTTTATAGAACTCAATGTCCCATTTGCATCAAACTACTTGTTTCAAACTTGGAAAGTTATAAGGAGTAAATAATACGTGATTCTGATGATGAAGTGTTGCCTGCTTCGCGACAAGATTTCAGCGCTAAATTCATTCGCAGAGATGTAATATATTTCGCGAATATTCTACAAAGTGTGAAGACTTCTAAGATTTTAAATGTTATATTTAAAATTTTTAAGGACTCTTTTATAAAAAAATATACATACATATTGCTAGACATTAGCTTAAATTATTACTATAGTAATAAAAATATGAATTTTTTGCATTGTTTCTCTTTCTTTCTCTCTCTTTCTATAAAACATATTTTTCATTTAAGAAAAGATTGATAATTTTTAATAAAGAATTTGCGAGCATAACTTCGCGAATGAATTTAGTTTCTGAAGACTTTGATATAAATAGAAACGACAAGCTTCTATGAAAAAATCATCTGTTTCAATGTGCTAGAGTTTATGATGTCCAACGACACAGGTCTGCAACTTGGTTCTCGAAGTTTGCGAGTAAATTCGTCCACGTCGAAAGACGACCAAATCTCATTCCGGGGATATTATTCACTCGTTACGAGTTCAAGCGGAGTTTCTATCAAGTAGTGTCACTTGGATAAGACGTTTCTTTAAACGAAAGTTACATGGTTACGTGAAACTTTGCAGTCCTTCTTAGATTTCACCAGGGGATACGGGGACTCTCGGAAAACTGTCTGCAGTTGAATCTCTCGCTTTAAGTTTATTTGCAAATAGATTTTTCTTTGATCCTGAGCGGAACTTGTCATATTTTTCCTCGCGATGCGACGTCTGAATTTCATCGTCAGAGTCAAATAACTTGAGCGCGCGAGAAGCAAGATATGTGCGTCAGGTTAAGAATAATTTTCGATACGCAAATGTAATATTTCGAATCGTCGAAAAAAATTCGAGATGTTCAAGTTTGTTTCATGCGAATTTGTTTGCCTTTGACAGCGAAACTTTCGCGAAAATAGCGATGTATGTTAATCACGTGGCGTGGCAGATGAAAGTCTGGAAGCACCGTCTTATATCTAGAAGAATTAGGAGAGCCGTAAGAATCAATATAGTGTTGCTCCACGTAGTTGTTGTGAAATTTCGTTGGTCTTCTCCGTGCATAGCCGCCGGTTTCTCTTCCTCTGTAAAAACAGATAAGAATATTTGATGAGATGAAATTCGAGAGAAAAGCGGTTCGATATGTAGAATGCTTTAGATATATTTAGCTTAATTTAATAGCATATCCTATTAATTTTATTGATAAGAAAATGCCATAAATATTGATAAAGATTTTCGAAAACATATTAAGTGAAAAATTAACAATTGCGAAATGCGTGTTTATAATTGCAGAAAAATTGTAAAATTAAAATTAAAATTATTTCGAGCATATATTTAATTTACAAATAAATAAGAATTCAAAACAATTCTCTTGCCAATTATATAACTTATAAAATTACATTTTTACGTAAATATACATTTTTTTTCAAAACATGGAAAACTCCGAATGGTCGCCCGTTGATCCCGTCCGGGATTGAATAGCCGAAGTAGGTTAACTCTCCCTGTTGACTAAAAAAAATGGGCGACCGGCCTCATATACAGCCATCCTTCGAGATTGAGGACGGTTGGCGAATTTTACGGCCCATAAAACTCGCCCTCTATACTCTGACACAATGTCTGTTTTTACCCGAATCCAGATTTCGCGCATATACGTGGAGCATAAATAAACGTCTCCTTAATGGTTCGGAGGAGAGAAAGGGAGGTAGTGCTTGGCAATCTCGATGATCAACGAGAAAGATTTTTTGAAAGGTTGGACGCGATGGGAAAAGGATACAATGAAATCGACGGGCCATAAAGAGAAATGATAGAACATTGTCGATACGTGTCGCATTGAATCACATAAACATAAATTAAATGTGTGCATATCTTTACATAATTTAAATTTTGATTTTATAACATGTACATCAGATTATATATCTGTTCATATCTAAAAATCTAAGAAAGTAATACTCATATTCTTTCATGCTTATTATTAATAATAAATTAAATTAAAATAATTATATAAATAATAATATGAAAGTGTATATGTATGTTTATGTATGTTATGTATGTATGTATGTAAGTATAATATTTCATGCATTACACATCATTATCATCATGTATGCCGAATAGTCCAAGTGATTTGATCCAACCGATCGGATGAAATTGTTTGAATATCGAAATGAGAGAATTAATTTATGATGCTATACCCACGCTCAACAATTGCTTACCTTCGATAACATGTATCATGATGTGAGCCGGCCTGGCATTATTCGGTGTGCATGTGTAATTGGCGCCGTGCGAAAGCTTCACCTTCTCTACGATGAGTACCGAGCCGTTTCTCCTCATCTCGAATCTAACGCCGGGTTCGTTATCATAGTTTATCATACGCGTCTCGCGATACCAGAATACGTAGCAGGGCGATTCCGCGGCTGCCATCAACTGGCATTCTAAACGCAGGCTGGAACCCTGTTTCACATGAAGATCCGGACCACCTGGTATCACAGAGTATGCCTCCGTGATGTTTAGCCGTACGAATCGTTGCTGAACTGGCACCGTTTGTATCTATTTTATTAGTAGAACACGAAATATAATAATTCGTACATCATATTTTTCCTTTTAAATTTTTCTAATTTTATTATAAATTTACATAAAATCTTGATAATTCTTAATTTTATTTAAAATTTATAATTGATTTTTTCTTTTCTATAATGTCATCTAATTTGTTATTTTTATTATTTTTATATATTTATCTAAGACTTCAATTACTTATATAATTAATCATAATTATTATTATTATTTGCATTTTATTATAGTTATAAATTATTATCAGAAGAAATGTTTAATAGGCTTCGTAGAAATGCTGTTAGTATGAGTTGTACATATGAGATATGTTACTACTGTCTGACCCGATTGATTATCACTACTAGTTGCGCCGGATAAACATAAGCTGTTTCACGCAGCTAATAAAAAAAAATTGCGTATAAATATAAACTAGGTCGACATGTATAGCGATTGTTCTTTTAACTTGTTATTTTTCTGGATGAAAAATGGATGAAAAATTTTTCCGAAAGTTAAACAATAGGGAAAAAAAATAATACAAATTACATGTCAAAAAAATCGCAACATTGGTCGACAGTCGACATAATTCATGCTGAAATTTAAAATTTGATTATCTTTAGAAAAAGATGCTTGTTTTTTTTCTAATTCTAGTACTAACAACAATTTCTATATTTGAAATGCTCAGATTTAATCATCAATCAAGCAATTTGAAATGTATTTCGAGAAATTTTTAAAGTTTTCAAACTTAGAACTTTCAAATTGAAGATAATTGTTAAGTTTAAATTAATAAATTAATCTTTAATATGCTACAATTTCTGAAGAGAAATTACAAAGTAAATTTATTTAAGAAATTATATGCAATATTATAAAAAAATCGATAAAAATAATAGATATTTATTCAATTAAATTATCGTTATAATTTTTGGATAAAATTTGTTTCTTAATTATTCTTAGAGCTACTAAAATTTTATTTATAATTTAAAATTCAAATTTATATTAAATTTACAATTAATTTTAAGAAAACATAATCTAAAATTAATTATAAATTCTTTATATAAGTATAATATCGAAAATATTTTTCTGTTTTACAATCAACGTAATGTAAATAATAATGAGCATTACTTGACACTCATAAAGGCCTGCATCTTCTTGTTTGACATTCTTGATTAAGAGACTCCAATCAGGACTGTTTAAGACAACGAAACGCGTATCTATAGAATGAGTGTCTCGACCTACTGTAAGTAATTGTCTGTCTTTTCGCCTGATCCAAGTCACCTGAAACATAAATTTTATAACTTGTTAATGTGAATAGTAGTTTATGAGGCATTGAGTTGAGAATTATTGATATATAAACAAGTTGTTTATCATTTATGTCCAATTCATATCTATTATGCTGAAAGAAATTTTCTTAAATGCATGAAAAAATATAACAAGATGAATATAAATTATAATTTGATCTCACAAGAATATTTAATATATATGCTATGTGCGGTCTCTAACAGTTTCTTTTCTATGTATGTATGTATGCATGTCCTCTACTGTTTATTCTAATATAGTACATATTCTATATATATTATCTATTCTATATATATATATATATATATATATATATATATATATATATTCGTATTTGCAGTTTATATACAAGGCGCCTCAGATTTACTAAAATCTGGAGCGCCCCATAAATTTAGTAAAATCAATCAATTATTATTTTTGAAATATAATACTTTGCATTTTCCATTCATTTGTTACACCATTCTATTATACAGTTGCTACAAACTGTAAATTATATTCTAAATATGTTGGAACCGTCCTAAAAATCATTTTGCATTATTTGTTTGAATCGCGGCGAAGCAATCATTTTTGATGACGACACAATCCGTATTATTTTGCTGGTACTTGATTAAATTTTCAATCTCGCAGTAATGGAAACAGAAGTATCTGTTTGACAGATCTTCTAAAATATCCGGCGCGATATTTTACTAGAAATATATATTGCGTAGGTTTCGCTCGGCTGACTTCAAAGATAGACATCGGCGGTTATTTATGGAAAATGTCACCAAGATAGAAATAGATCTTCGGCACGGAATCTGAAGACATTCTCAATCGTCCGTCGATCGAGCGAGAAGTTTCGCTTCTTCGAATGTATATTTACTATAGATATTTCATTCAATATCTGAATCGTTAGATACTTTTCTTACGTACAAAGTATCGTATTATAGTTTATACAAGAGAATACTCTTTTGTATGTATGACTACGCTGTCTTTGTATTACGGTCTTCTTATATTCATTGTTACTAGAAAGAAGTCAGCTGTAAATTTAAAAAATTGAAATATAATGAAAAGAAAATCCTTTCTATAAATAAATGTATGTAGATCAGGCTTTTCTTCTCTTTGCTATGTAAAACAAGATTTTTTTATCTAATTGGAGTATAAAACATATTTAAATTAAGTGCGAAATATTGATATATTTTTTAAATGTTACAACAAATATATCGTTTGTTTGAAAGTGAGTCACGAAATAAGATCTGTGATTTAATTTTTTCTTTTAAAGATGCGAAAGTATGTCTAAATATCGACATTTCCACGTCTATCTTGCTTCTCGCACAATCTCCATCTTAGTCTACTTTTTTTACATCTTATATCAACGCGGAAAATACTCACTCATTACTATGCGAACGACTTTGCATGGTAATGAGCCTTATTATGTTTAATATTTGTATTTCATGATGCGCAAAAATCCAGAAAATCATGGCCAAAGTTTCGACTGATATTAAGGAATTGATGAGAACCAACAATTTTTCGAAAATATGTCATAATATAATTGGGTATCATATTTGTTTATTAAATGAAAATACTTGTTTATTTAACGACTGAATTCGAGACATATTATTGACGTTAATTAGTGCTGCGATTGTGATAGTAGAAGATAGAAGATAGATGAAAATAGCTTTATACTTTTACTTTATACTTTTAAAATTATAAAATTAATGATAAATAACAAGAGAGCAAATGTTTCTAAATATTTTTATAATTGTAAAAGATATATATATATATATATATATATATATATCTTTTAAGAATAAGTATACTTTATTAATAAAATATCTATTTGATATATTAATATATATATTCTTTTAAGAATATATTAATTTTATTTTTAACCAACATTTTTAACAAGTTTTTTGCCATTATTTTGTAAATTATTTGAATATATTTGCCGTTTTTATATTATTAAAATATGTTCCATGTATGTAAAGTGACCTTATGATCTCGAACATATTCTAAGATTCCCAAGTACATATAAATGTTAGAAATTAATGTCGCTTTTGGGAGATGGGCGATTCCCGATCGATTTAATCTGGCAATTCTAATGAAATTAAACGGATTCTCGATGAGCGACGTGCATGTTAATAAAACCAATTACTAGCAGGAGGTTTCAATCATAGAAGTAGATTCAATATTGACGAGCATAGAATAAATAATTCGCGAATAGCGAATAGCGGCGATGATGTCGCGTCGCATAGAACCAAAATTATTAAGTTTTGGAAAATCTCAACTCTTTCTCCATCCTTTAATTGCAGTCTATCATTAAAAATCGTATAAATATGCGATGGATTGAATGTCATTGCAATTTATTTCAATCAACCTTTTTCATCTTGTACATTCTATTCTTTTCTTTTCATTTTTTTTCTTTCGTCTTTTTGCTAATTTTATCGGCAATTGAATTTTTAATAGATTTTGACATATGAACTTAGTACTTCCGTTAGCATTTATTATAGCATTTCCGTTAGCGTTATTGATTTTCTTCTACTTTACATAAAACTCATTAAGAACCGAATTAAATATTTATAGAACCGAGTTGGAATATAAGATTACCAAATATGATTGTGATTGATACGAATGTGGAATATTTGTAAATATTTTATCTATATAAGAATATTAATGATGCGATTTTCGATAACGATTTATCTTTAAAATTGAAACAAAATTATATTTTCTCTCTCTCTCTTTTATATTCTCTCTCTCTCTCTCTAAAATATTTAACTATTAATACGGGGTAAAAATTTATCTTACATTATATAATACAATTTATATTAAAATATAATTTAAATTAAGAAGTTGTGTTATATCTAAAATAAAATTCGTTTTACGTATGAATGTATGTAGATATATATTCCGTATATATGTTTATGTACATAATTAAAAATCATTTGCCTTTAACTGTAATTCAAATCAACAATGCACTAAAAAATATTTTGTAAATAGATATGCGTTACACATATCGACAGATAAAACAATAAATACATGGTACTAAACACGTACAAACGGACAGGCTGTAAAATTAATTATATTTCGAATGCGAGCGTAATAGCCGACGAAGCTCGTTATCTTCTCTTCTCCCATTCATATTGTTTATCGGCTTTACATATTCACTTTTTTCATGCTTTATACATGGCAATGTTATCTAGAAATATATTGTTATATATTGATGTTATATCAATGTATCGAAATTACATTCGCAAAGTACATATATCTGTTAGTACACGTAAGGCTACGAAGTTATACGTTGCTTTTTCGTAAAGACATCGTAATAATTATTTTTTCCAATAACTATAACGATGTTATAAAATTTATTTTTAATATTCGTTTTAAGTTTGTTTAAATTTGAAGGAATAATATATTTTAATATATTTTTTTTGGTAACGAATAATAAATAATTATTTTTAATGCGTTATTTTTCGAAATTTTCTGACTTTATGACTTATTATCAAATTTTTAATATATAATATCTTTCTCTTTACGATCGAATGTCCTACGCTGCATTCTCGAGGTATATGCAACCGAGCATCGTAAATGATTTCGATCATCCGCATGTCACGCGTGTCGTAATGCACGTGTTACTGTGCAAAATGACACGTTCATTGCGGACGCGTTACATCCGGATGCAGTTTGGCGCAGAAAGAGTCGTCCGAGATTCCAGTCGATGCGACATGAATAAAAGATCAACTGCACTACTCTCTCGAGTTATTTTCTTAGTGTGCCGATATCGACCGATCACTTTTCGATATCGTTCGTCGAACCGTCCGACAAAAGTTGTAATTAATCCTTTGAGAACTCTTTCAATTGTTTTTATATCTTTTGAAGACAGCACGCTTAATGAATATATAATACAAACCGTAGCGAAATATTTGCGGTTTCTTTCATCTGATCGGTTGTTTTCAAGAAGTGATCAAGAAGTTATTTCTGGTATTAAATAAAGATCTTGAACGTCATATTATTTATTCGTAATTTCTTAATTTTTGACATTAAAATTTTCATTTAACTAAAAAATTTTATTAAAGAAAAATTTATTTAATAAAATTTCGATTGAAATAGTAATGGTTGGTTATATTTTGCCGCATCCATGAAGTTTGATTTTCCAAAACTTATCATTTTCGAAATTATGATTGAAAAATTATTATTTTTCATAATTTAATTTTTATTATTAAAAATTAATTTATTGTTAAAAAAAGGAATAATTAAAGAAAATATATTTTTCATATCTTAATTATTATTTAATTATTATTATTAAAAGAAGGTTTGATCATTAAATATTTCCATTTAAATCCTTCTACTTAACTTTTTATTCTTCATATATATATATATATATATATATATATATATATATATATATATTGTAATAATTTGCAATTTATGATCAGTGATATATAATAATATGAGCGGTCACACATTGTGCAGTGCAATTACTGATCAAGTTACGTATTCTCGCTTAACGACACCTGCTGCCCAACGTGCTCAAGTCCGTTTGTCAGCTGGTATGCGTGTGCTGGTATGAACTACTTCATCGCATTACATTAAGTGTCAAGGGTTAATGATGTCAGTAATAAACAATATGGTCTGTAACACTATGTTCTCGTGCGAAGGGTCGCGTTAGGAGAGATGCCTCACGTAATTAACCCTTCTATTCATTTCTACAGACATATGTGAAATTGTTAAAATTTTCGTCAGAAGAAAATAGTACTTTTTCTTTCTCTCTTTCTCTGTTCATTCATATTTTCCTAGTAGTTCGATATTTTATATAATGTAATTTTAATTTTCTTCAACTTTTTACTTATTTTTCGACAGAAGGTGCGTATACTTTCTAAAATACTTTCTAAAATAAAATGTAGAGTTTCGATAATAAACGCTTTAATTATATTTTATATTGAAAGATTATTCAATATTAATAAAAGTTAGCATCTACACAAATTTGATAAACATTTTATTATCTA